TCTGATTTCATTTTAATTTAGCTGTTTTAGAGCTAGCCTGGAGTGTTTTTCAGGACCATGTTTTTGCTCACCCATCAGTATAAAGAAAGCAGCTATTGGACGCCCAACAAGTCACAAATATTGGATGACATAATTTCTTAATTTGCATAAACGATAATGTGCATGTTATTAAAACTCTCCTTTTGTGCACAGTCTCCATCTCCCATCCTCAGAAATTCTATTTACGTCACACTTCCAAGCACCCTTTCTGCTTTTTTTAAGTCTGCGCCACAGAAATTATGTTGGCGTTTTTGGACTTTTGACTTTACTTTTGTATAATTAAATGTTTAAGTCTGTCATTTGGTCATCATTAGGATGTTCCTTGCTGTTTTCCATTTGTGTTAGTAGTAGTTTGCCTGGTAGGTAGCTGTTTTTTCTTTAATTTGGGTGTTTATTGAGCAGATGTTATAAAAGAAAAACTGTATCATGTTCTTTAAAGATGCAAACCTTTTAAAATCCCATTTTGGGCCAAATGGAAAACAGGGGGGAATAATGTCTGATGATATGCTTCCATTATGTCCTCGGTCCTTCCTGCAGATTTTCCATCAAATATCAACACGCAGCGATACACGATGAGGCTCTACTTGATTCTCCTTCCGCTCTTTATTCTGATAACGTCCACGGATCCGTCGGAGGTGGATGAAGTTCCAGTGGAGGTCATCGCTGACAGCTCCCCCTGCAGCGCTACCTGTGGACTGGGGATCAAAACCCAAACCCTCTGTTTGCTCAAAGACAGCAAAACCGCACTGGAGGATCAACCAAAGATACCACCCACGCAGCAGGTAAAAAAAAGAGACTCTTTTTAAACGCGGAGGAGGGAAAAATGACATTTCACACCTGTGTTAGGTCATCTCAAAGGAGTCAGAGGACTGCCGGGCCCGTAAAGTGAGGTGTCTGGAGTCCTGGCAGTGTGGACTGACCACCATGACGGTGATGTCGGGGCAGAAGGTGGAGATCGACTGTCTGGGAGAAGTGATGGAGGCGATGGGAAGGTTCTCCTGGAGGTAAGGAGCGGGGGGGGGGGAGAGCATGACAAAAGACAGAAGAACAAACTACTCCAAGTGGTGTTGTTCCAAAAAGCGCGTAATTCAAACGGAACTTGAATGTACTTATGAGCTGTGGATACAGTTCACAGCTTCACAGACATGTTTAAAAAACATTTTTTTTAATTATTATTATTATTATTTTATTTTTGTGTTAATTTTTTTTTTATTGTGTTTTTAATTGTGTTTTTAATTTTGTTTTTATTTATTTAATTAATTTTTAATTTTTTAATCTTTTAATTTTTTAATTATTTAATCTCTTAATTTTTTACATTTTTAATATTCCTAATTTTTATATTTTTACATTTTTTAAAATGTTTACATTTTTAATTTTTTTAAAAATCTTTTCAAATAAAAATCTTTTGAATTTAAATTTTTTAATTTTTAAAATTTTTAAATGTTACATTTTTAAATTTGAAAAAAGTCTATTTTTAAATGTTCTGTTTTTTTATTTTCCAATTTTTTAATTTTCAATTTTTTAATTATTATTATTTTATTTACTTTTACTTTTTTTTAAGCTTTACAGACATGTTACCAGTTTTTTGTTCTCAAAAAGTCGGGAGTAAAACATAGCTTTTGCTCACCTCTTCAATTCAATTAAATTCAATTCAATTAAATTCAATTCAATTCAATTCAATTCAATTCAATTCAATTCAATTCAATTCAATTGAATTTATATAGCACCATATCACAACAACAGTTATCTCACAGCGCTTTCCAAACAGAGCAGGTCAGACCTTCTCTGAGTTATTTACTGAAGCCCAACCTCCTCTCAGAGACCCACTTCTGAAATCCACTGGTTCAGTAATCGTGCTCCGGCCTTTGCTTTTCCGCTTCAGGGTGTCGTGGCGCTACGCCAGAGGCATAATCACCTCTGACGACGCCCTCTTCCAGTGCTGGGAGGCCCCTCATCTGGACCGGGTGGTCATGGAGTCGGTCAGGGAGGAGGACGCAGGTGCTCCACTGGCTCCATGACCATTGACCAATATCTCCATAAAACATCAAAATGATCAAGTTAGTTTAAGCTAACTCACTCTCCGGGCTGTCGTCAGGTACCTATCGCTGCGATGTGCAGGATACCAGCCTCCGGAGAGTGAAAAGGATCTACTGGGGGGTCAGGGTTTTACCCGTCGGGGTTTTTAGCCTGGACCTGCAAAGCTCTGTGGCCCGAAATGAAAAAGCTGAAAGTCTACAGAAGATACCTGCAGTACAACCTGGAACTACAGGGAGACGACTTCTTTACGCTGTAAGTAGTTAACAAAATGGTTTTTAAACTTAGACTTAGACTTAGAATTGTACTTTATTGATCCCTTGGGAAGACTCCCTCAGGAAACTAAAGTTACCAGCAGCTTACAGGGCAAAAAAAGTGGCCCACAGAGAGCAAAATGTATAAAAAATACAAAAAATATAAGTACACTTGTTGCACTGAAGCAATGCAACGACTCACTGGCTGTAACTGTGTTGTGTGGACACACAGGTGGGGGTCAGTCTGGTGACCGTGGGCATCTGGGCTGGACTTCTGGGCCTCTACAGAAGAAGGATGGTGAGAGTAACAGAAGAATGAAGATGTTTCGCGTGCGTTTCATATCTGTTTCCCAGCAGAACCTTTGTGATGCGTTCATCTACGCTTCACGTTTGAAATATAAGCAAGTCAGAAATTAGTTTCTGGTTTTATCCACTGTGGAAATTTTTGTTTATCAAAGAGGGACAGACAGAGATGCTTCTTGTATAGATTACAAATAAAAGTCTGTCGGATCTCTGGTGTTTTTTAAGTCCTTAGCACTGTGGTGAGATGAAGGCTCATTGAAATGCCAGCACAACCCCCCCCCCAATTCACAATATGAGGAAGAAAATTCAAACCAGATGAAAACGTTTGTATTCTGGCGTCTGCAGAAGTGTGCGTGGCTCAATACATCCACAACATTATTTTACAGGAGTTGTGTTGAACATAATATGAGAAATGGAAAAATAAAAATCTGTTTTTAACAGGAATTGTAGGTCATTTTGCCGCTGTGCACAGGTCTACGACTTAGTTACAGTTTTATTTCTAATTATTAAAAGATGTCAGCTCAATATAACCATCGATTATAACACTTATTCCCAACAGGGTCACAGTACAATCCAAGGCAACAATGGGTCAGAGGCGGGACACACAGAGACACACAACCACACGCACGCACATTCACTGGTTGAACAAATGATTGAACAGTCAATAATTCATTCATCTCCTCTCTGTGACTACTTTAAGTATTCATAACAATGTTATGAATGGCTATAGTGGTAGTAGTTACAGTTTAAATAAAATTCTTGGTCTTTTTGCCCTGTGAGGTTAGATTAACGACATCATGAAGTCTCAAAAATTGCACATACTGATAAACAGGACATTTACATTTTGGCTGACAAAGCTAAAACATCCAAACTGGTCCTGGCAGTGACCCTACGACACGTCACCGTGCTTTCCAGCACTGTTCCACCAGATGGAAGTGTTGCTTTATCTGGAGCGCCAACAGTTCCATAAAAGGCACCGGATGGACAAATGGGATCCCAGCGGTCGTCACCTCACAGGTCCTGACCAGAGGTCAGCTGCTGACCTGCAACTGGTTCAGAAGAGCCTTCTCCCAAATGCAATTTAATGGGATTCGTTACAGTAATTATGGAGATCGATTGTAGTTGTTACTACTCCCACGAATTAGCATATCTATTTGATGAAGTTGTGTTAAATTTGTGAATTCATTGTCACTTATTTTAGATCTGGATATATACATATGGTTGCATGTATATCTATCTATCTATCTATCTATCTATCTATCTATCTATCTATCTAT